TCGAGCAACATTGGGGGAGGATGGCCCAGAGACTATCCTACACCTTTGTATATAAAGGAAAATAGCAAAACAAGTTCATCAAGGCTCAAACTGTCGTCGGACAGCGTTTTTTTATCTTTCGCACCAAATAATTTTAACGTCAACGTAGATATTTGTACCAATAAAGGTTGGAGCGTCTACAAGTCAATGGAGATACAGGGCCATTTGGCTCTATTTTTAACTGATCGATCGGGACATAAGTTGCCCAGAAGTCTAAGGCGCCGAAACTCCGATTGCAGAGTTACGGCAACTGCATCCGCTTGAAGTTTCTTATTTCCCCGCCATTATCATCCTGAGTCTCTCGGTTTCCGAAAATGCCCGTTTTTACCTCTACTAGTCGTGTCATTTTGGTTTATCCTCCCACGTTTAGCTTTTACCTGCAATAAAATAAAGTACCGTTCTGCCTTAAACAATACCCCGATCATGCATCTTTAACCAATCTATAATGCTTCTTATTATTTCATCTCTAAAGGGAGGTGATGCTGACACCAATGGCGCTGTAGCCGGAGCTCTCCTGGGCTGTAAGTTGGGAATATCTGGGCTGTCAAAGCTGGAGCACAAACCCTGGCTAGATGAGAAAATCGAAAGGTAAATTACATGTTACCACGTATTAATTAATGAGCGTTTTGCTAAACAGTTTCTATTATCTATCTTTTTGTTGCAAAATATCAACTCAAAACTTTGAATGTGACTACAGTTTAATAAGATAATGTTTTATTGCCTAAAACATAACCGCCGCCATGTATATACTTATCCTCCAATCATTTTACAGATACCTGAACGTGTTGCAAAATGTGAAAGGAAGCACATCAAATGGCAAGAACATCTCATCGTAAATGCCATCAGTTACAATAACAAGTTGATATTCTAAGCACTACTTAGTTTTGTTTATTCCTAAATCTGTGACTCATTCCAGTTGTTGGATTTCCTTTGAAATTGATGTATTTATGTGAGGTGCACATTGACTGACGAGTCAGAAAGGCTTCCCTGCTCGCCCTACATTTTAGGATACCTACTTAACCTCGTAGCCTGGTTAGGGGCAGACCAGTAGAAAGGCCTCACATGCCTCCTGCATTCCAGTTGACAAAATACTCATTGTCATTGTACGTTGATGTTGTGTGTATGTGACATATTACAAATGTTATTTAAGTTCGGTTTTTGTTGTTTACATTTTTAGTGGATAACGTATGTATGAAGATGTATACCTGATTAGATTCTTGTTCAATTCATGTACATTTACATTACAATATTTGTTGTTTTCGTTCCTTTGTTTTATTTTAAAGTTGTCTTTTCAGGGATGTTGGATTAATTCATTTATATTCTTTTGTGTCTTTTAAATATTTCGCAAGTTCATATGTTATATGTAGGTAGCATATAAGGTATATGTCATAGATGTGTGTAGCTGAAAATGCATAAGGACAGTAAATACAGTGTTTTATGTGCCAAAATTGATTGTCAGCTATGCTTAACACTACTTTTGTTTTTTCGACCCTTAATTTAAGCTTTTTTCAAAGTTAAATTATGACAGCTTGCAGTTTTGTCTGTAATATATTACCAGAATATTACAATGTACATGCTTTCTTCGAATCCTGTATTTGTTCTTTAATCTGTACAGATATGTTTTACTCACTGTAACCGATGGCTCTAATTTCTCAGAAACAATGGGTTGGGGATTGTCTGGTTAAATGTCCAGAGAAACAGCAGGTTCAGGTTTGTGAGAAGAGTTGGGACTAGATTCAGAGAAACGACGGCTTCGGGTTTGTGAGAAAGACTTCTTTGATAGGCATTTAGGATTTGCAAAGCATGTGCACCGCCAACTCGTTGTCAACAGATATTTTCCAAACCTTTTCATGTTTTTTATCAAGGTGCTCGCGTGATTTGATGCGATTAGCGATGTTAGACCCGTTTTATCACAATATAGATCTTGATTATCGATCAGATCGTCTTGACTGGGCGCCGCCATTTTGTTTAAAACAAATGCAAATGATGGAATCTGATTGGTCCATGGGAGTGGCTTAGAAGGGACATAACTCGTAATAACCACTGGTGGCGCTATCATCGAGCCCAGGAATTCCAGCTTAGTTCGGCAAGAGTGGAAACTGGACTTTTAAAGTCAGTTAACTCTCTTGCCTCGGGAAGATGACTTGAGTAGAGAAGCCTGTTATGTACACACAAGGGTAGTGATGACAATCATCGGTGAAGTCAGTGACATAGACAAAGGATGAAGCCAGTAATATAAAAACAACAGGATTATTGGGTCTTTGATGAGTTGATGGTACGCCGGGGGTATTAATAGCCTTGGTCTCGGTTGATTGACGGCTGGAGTCTTTTGATGTTGATGGCTTCTTGTAGTTTCCTGATCTTGAAGTCTTTGAGGTTGGTGGTGAGGGCTGTGACTCTCTCCCACTGAATGCTGTGGCTTGGGTTGTCATGGATTTGGTCTGGTAGAGCTGATTTAGAGTCTTTGGAGACTGAGCTTTGATGTTCTTTCATTCGGGTTTTGATGGGCCTAGATGTTTCTCCAATGTAAGCATGTCCACAATTACATAGAATGTGGTATACTGCTCCTGGTGGTTCTAGCTTGTGGCTGGATGGTGGTTTCTCTGTGGCCTTAATTGTGTTCTGAATGGTATGACTTCTCTTGAAAAGTACATCAATGTTGGCCTGTTTCTTTAAGAGTCTCTTGATTTGTGGCTAACTGTTCTAAAGTAGGGGAGACTGATCACAAAGGGTGCAGACCATTGACGTAGGGATTTCTGAGATTTCTTGGTGATGTTCTGTAGTACTAGTTGCTCAGGATAGAGGTGATACTGTGTAAATACTTGTTTGAGGTGGCTTAGTTCAGTAGTTTCTTCCCGGAACAGATGTTGTGAGCTCATCTTCCAAGGGTTGAAACAATTCCTTTCTTGACTTGAGGTGGATGGTTGGTGGCATAGTGTATGTATTGATCTGTGTGGGTAGGTGTCTGATAAACAGTGGTCTGGAGTTTGTTGCCATTATCTTTCTGTACGAGTACATCAAGGAAGGGGAGCTGTCGATTGGTTTCTTCCTCCTTCGTGAATTGCATTCGTGCGTTTTGGGAATTCAGGTGGTCCAATAGAGTTCTGGGATCATTGTTGGGATGTAGGATGACAAAGGGGTCATTAACTTTGCGGAACCAGCAGAGGGGAGTTATTAGGGATGTTGCCAGGGCTTCAAGGTGGGTCATACATATCTTGGTGATCAAGGGTGAAAGTGGGGATGGTTCGTGAGAAACAGGGCGTACTGTTAGAATGGAGACACGGTTGGTCATGGTTCGTAAAAAACAAGGTTGTTAGAACGGAGAAACGGTTAGTCATTGTTCGTGAGAAAAAGGGTGTTCTGTTAGAACGGAGAAACGGTTGGTCATGGTTCGTGAGAAACAGGGCGTTCTTTTAGAACGGAGAAACGGCTGGTCATGATTTCTGAGAAACAGGGCGTTCTGTTAGAACAGAGAAACGGCTCGTCATGGTTTTTAAGAAACAGGGCGTTCTGTTAAAATGGAGAAACGACAGGTCATGGTTTTTGAGAAACAGTGCGTTCTGTTAGAACGGAGAAACGTCTGGTCATGGTAGGTGAGAAATAGGGTGTTCTGTTAGAACGGAGAAACGACTGGTCATGGTTTGTGAGAAACAGCGGGTTGAGGATAGAACTAAATAGCGGGTTCTGTTTAGGGAGTAACGTTGGGCCTAGGTTTGCAAGCAACACCTAATGCCGGGTAGACAGCTGCAGTGGGTCTAGATTTGCCTGGTAAAAGATGTAGAGAAGCAGCGAAAGCAGGCGGTCCATTTTCGAGCATTGGTTTCTTCTTTTTGGGATAGTGTATCGACGTTTGTGAAAAACGCTGATGTTCCTTCAGTCAAAGAGCGACAGCAATTCACCGTCACAGTGGAATTGTTGGGCGATTATCTCCTATGAACAAAATACAAGAGATACAACAAAGAGAGATACAACAAAGATACAACTGAGTGAGTTACCATATAATGTCGCATCTGCATTATTGCAGCCATATTTGCCTCCCGAAGGATGAGGATATAATGATGATATTTAATGGAAATTGACAAAAATAATACGTTTTTGGATGAGAATTGATATGTTTTCACTGGTGGCGTAGAAAATGATCAAATCCTACACCATTTGACAACCATCGTTGAATATTCTATTTATAATATAATTCAAGCTATTTTGCGAGAATTTTATTCTCCAACTAACTGCTCGAACCGTAAACCGTAGGGACAAACCACCCAATATACGAGAGCAACATAGTTCCACCTTCGGAGATGAACGGCACATAGTAACGAATTCATTATTATGTTTTCGATACAACCAAACTGAATCAACTTATATTAAACTTGATAGAATGGTATGTAATGCCTGAGAAAGTATATGCATTTCGCGACTCTGTCAGACCTGGAGTACATTCAAAGCAGGCGTCTTTTCAAGAATTTACGGTAGGCGAGTCTCTGGGCCAACTTAATGTGATCTGACTTTCACTCAATACGGGTGCTGGAGGTAAGGCACTGGACACTTTTACCCTGCACCGAGTGTGATCACTGCATGTTTCAAGTGTTTCGTGAGTGTAGTGGCTGTGGATAGGTTAAATGTTTTTTGTTTTGTTTGTTTGTTGTTTAACGGCGCACTCAGAAATGTTCCAGCTATATGACGGCGGTCTGTAAATAATCGAATCTGGACCAGACAATCCAATGATTGTCATCATGAACATCGAGCTACGCAATTGGGATACAATGACATGCATCAACCAAGTCAGAGAGTCTGACCAAACCAAACCAAAAAACAACAACTGCAAACGAGCAGGTTGTTCTACGTCTTAACAATTACAGTTAACGCCCACTCGCCCATTCAATGCTAATGTAAATGTATGTACGAGACACTGTAGGCTGGGGCGATATTTTATGAGAAAATGGAAACACAACCACATAAAGTAATGTGCATGGTTTTTTATTCAGGTTACAAATTCAAGAACACGAATTCAAGAACTTGACTTGGTATCCTGCAAAATAAATAAAGAGAGAGTTTATTCAGTATTGAAGGCCTCGTGGCCAAGAGTACAATTACTTTCAAATAACATGAGTACGATAGTGGCATGCGGATGTATTACGTCATTTCTAAATATAAAAGTGTATATCTCTAAATAAAACTATATCTTTAGTACAGATTAACACTTCTGCTTAACGGTAAACTGGCAAATTTCTCTGTAGATAAAGAGCACAACCTCTTATAACATTAATATTTGTTTGAGACATCAAGGAGGCAAATTTCTGTCTTGATGGACAATGATGAAAATAACAAGAAATTTAACTATCTCTGCTTTTCTCGTAATATGGGCAAACTAGTGCAAAATGATATTCATCTTCTAATTCTAATAAATCACAATTATCACAGAATATTAATTCAGGTTGTATTAACTGTTTGCTAAAGCGCTGTTTTTGTACTTTTAAACCATGTGCCAAACATTGAAATTTCGCCAAAACTCAAGAATCCTTACAAGATCCTTTTCAAAGCATGAGGTTATATAGAGTTCAGTTTCCAATAGTGATTTATATGACGCATAATGGTTCAAGAACAACAGAATTGTTAATCTTTTGACTCCAGTTTTGTAAACAATGTCAATACATCTTCTCTTGAATAATTCCATGAAACAATGTATATGCCCACAGTCCTGCGATATCCACGCATAACCAAAACCAGATTCAAACAAAAGCATTCTCACATGAGATGCCCAATTAACACTACCATTATCAGCTTGTACTTTCAGCATTTTATTTCAGCAAGTCGATTTGAATTCATGCGTATCAATCTACCCCAATATCTTATACATCAACTGAAATAACACTTAGATGATAACGGGCAACTTCACCATTAGATGATGCTTTATTACTGATTGACAAATATTTCGTAGAAAAAGGACTTTGGACTTTTTCAATACTTTCTCTAAATGTAAACCCCCAAATTTCACTTCCATAACAAGTAATCGGAGCTATTTTACCGTCGAATATAGAAACAATTACCGTAAATGACAAGTACGGATAGAGCTTAGTCACTTAAAAATAGGAAAACATGCTTTCTTGGCCTGTGTCTCTAGGGTTTCACAGGCCTTAGACCATAGAAGACAACGCCCAAGTATTAATATTTTACTATTTTCATTTCTGTGTTTTTATAGTACCTTTTCAAAATAAAGAAAACATGTATGAGGTAAAAAGTCCTACTCTTCATACAACAGCGGTACGGTAACGGATCACCCAATCAGTCAATGCCCTAGAACCCCCTTTATGCACTGATTCAGAGGGCAGACACATGACTGTCTAGAACTACAGGTGTTTTCAATCACTTGCAAAACAGAAACAGACGCTGCTTAAGTACCATTCACTAAATGCTCCCAAACTCGTAACATGCCATGTACTTCCTATCCGAACACATTCGTAATAGCATCAAAGATGACCTTGACCTTGGAAAGATACATGGTCGTTATGACTTGACCTGTAATGGAATGTCCTCAGATCTTTGGGTAGCTTTAATTAGAGTGGGATGCCTGTGAGCTATTCTAATCTGGACTCCCACGGGGGCTTCCAGCAAGTACCCATGTGGACACTCCTTTTGCCATGCCAGAAACCCATCAAGGTGGGTTCTACTCTCTGAAGGTTTTCATTGCGCTTCTGGGTGTCACAACACCATGCCCATGAACCTGTTGTTTTCACTACTGTGGTAAATGTCGAAGACCTGCATCACCTCGGGCTAATATGTCGCGATATAATTGACACATTATTCGAAACAGCAGTAAAAGAAAACTTACTTACTCGGGTTTACACTGAAGAGCATGCCTGTCCTAGTTCCCCTTCTTGGCGGCATCCACTTCGTTGCAGTATTTCATGTGACTAACTGCTATCTGCAAAAGTGTCAAAGAAAAATATTAATCTGGAATATTCCCAGGATCGGGTCATATAAAAAACAATAATTATATTTCCTTTGTTTGTTGTTTAACTTCAGAATTAGCAATATTCCCGCTGCAAGTCTTGCCTGATTGTTGGGCGCAGTATTAATAAATTAATGAATAAATTAATTAATTAGTAAATATAAACACTATTTAGACCTTTATTACCCAATATTATTGACCTTCGGTTCAGGTAAACTGCCACCAAAGGCATTTTACTCCGAAAAGGCGCTAACAGACATTAGACGAGTGCACAACCTTGACGTGAACCTACTATTTGCAGAACAGTTTCCATTGCTGCTTCGGTGTTTGTCTCGTTCTGAAAAGGAAAAGAAGAGGGGTGTAATGAAAATCCAACTCCTATCTAGTATAACCTACTAACATATGATAGGCTTTACATTAATATTTCTATTCTGTTGGAATGAAAAGTTAAGGAAAAAAACCACAAAAAATTTATTGTAATACTTCTTTGTGTTTCTTTGTTGTCTATTTGAACGTGGCACCCAGTAAGATATACCGATCACTTTCAGAGAGCAGGTCTGATGAGATCTACAACCTATTGCTAGAGTCCCATCTGATAGGTACCTGTAGAAAGGAGTTTTGGAAATTGTTTGTTTATTAATTGTTGAGCGACACACTCACCAATATTCCAGCCACAAATAGTTGTAAAATTAGCAGCTACAATATATTTTAGCCAATAACAGTATCATAGTACAATATTGAAGAAAAGGGATGTACTTAGGTCAACATACCAAGTTCATGCGAGGACGAATTCATCGATGTTCACTATATATACCTGTGTAAAACTATACACTAATCTCAAGTCAATCTCAATGCAGGTGTTTACCATTTTTTTTCTTAAACCCATCATCATCGATATACTTCCCCTGGACCAAGGAAATACAAATACAATTTTCAAAACGCGTTGTTTAGCTCAAACCGTTCAGTTTAATGAAGTCCTGCTGCAATGCACTCCAGAACGTATCAACGTGTTGGCAGACATGCTGAAGGCTGGGCTTGTGTACTTACGTATTCTAAAAAAAAGATACAATTACATATATATGTGTATATTTAGACTAGATATATAGATCTAAGTACAAACACTGAAATCATTGCTGGGTATTTATTGCTTGTTACAAGAGGTGAGGTGATGTGAGGTGAAATTTGGTTTAACGTCCCGCCCAAGATTATTGCACTTAAATAGCGACGTGCATGCACCTGTGTCTGGACTGATGCTGATTTATAGTGCTAGCCCACTGAGATACCATGCCGCAGTTTAACATGAATACCCTACTCAGACACAGTATACTGACTCCTTAATGCCTAGCGCCAGACAGGGTAACAACAAGTACCTTCCGCTCTACCCCTAGACCACGGAGGCGGTTATAAGAGAGTTTATTCATTATTTATTAAAGTCTGAACTATATGTTTATCAGTGGTTATAGTAAATCTTTACGTCAGTGTATATAGCATTTAAATATAAATATCGAATCTTGACCAGACAATCCAGTGAATGTTTTTTGTAAGCAACGGTCGGTTGGTTTTACTATAACGATCAACCAAGTCCCAGGGCCTGATGTATGACAAACCTATCCATTCAGCCGCCTCGTGCGACCTGTACATGTTGCTATAACAATTCTAACCCCGAATTGGTGGCTATATCATCAGATACTGTATACACGTTACAAACAAGTGCATTTATATACACCTGGGAAAAGCTTAGGCACAGCTTTATAGATTTTACCAAATAATATAGTACTTTTTGAAATGGTATCCTTTTTAAATATTAGGACAAAACACATTTACTTTTGTTTATAAGGTTACATACCAATACTGAAATACAGAAACCAAAATCGATTCTCTGATGACATGTATTGTAAATGATCCACGACAATAGTTATTTAACGACTCTTTCATTTGCTTATTGTCTGACTTTGTTTCCTATGACATGATCCCAATATTAGTTTTCGCAGCCATCCAGAGACATACATATTCCTACCAACTGCACCAGGTATCAGTGGTACGGATCACAATGAGATCAATGTGACATGTAGATATATCCCAAAAATATATGGAAGTTCTGAGTATATGAAAATAAAGGAGGGGTTGCGCTTAATTTAATTTGTTTCCAGGTGTAAAATATATAATGTATAATCCTTACTTCCGAGTGCGTTCACCGCATCCGTCAGTATCGTTTCTGCCTTGGAAAACTGCAACAGAGTGGGGTCGTTAAAATCATTGGTGTATCGACGTTGACGACCCAATACTACTTTTGTCATCGACGACAATTTCAAAAGGGAAGTTTAAATAATCATGCAAAGTAATTCCGAATCATTACTTATAAAACAATGCCAACGCCTTTAAATTATCGTCAAGTGATATTGTTTAGGGCTTAGCAAAGTGTAGTAAAATAACCCAAATGTCATTATAAAATTAAACTTATACGTTTCAAACTACATGAGATGTTTTGTTTGCTTGTTTGTGTGTTGTTTAACGCCGCACTCAGCAATATTCAAGCTATATGACGGAGGTCTGTAAATATTCGAGTCTGGACCAGACAGTCCAGTGATTGACATCATGAGCACTGATCCACGGAAGTGGGAAACGATGACATGCATCAACCAAGTCAGCGAGCCTGACCTCCCGATCCCGTTAGTCACCTCTTACGACAAGCATAGTTGCCTTTTAACCCCACACTGAAATTCAGCAATATTCTAGCTATATGACGGCTGCCTGTAAATGAACAAGACACACTTGTTTTTGCTATCATGAACAACGACCCACAACGTTGAGTATATTATTGACTCACAAACAACCAATTCACCAAACCTGGTCAACTGAAATGCCTCCTACCGACAAGTATACGGTGTTTGGGACATATTCTAACCCAGAATACCATCGGGGGTTCAAATGTAAACGCAGTCTGTTTTAAGTTAAGAGTAAGATTGCACTATTGTGGTTACTTTTGCATGTATTGACGGAAAACATAGAACACGTCTACGAATCGAGCAATGAGTGAGTGAGTATTGTCTTACGCCGTTTTTAGCAATATTTCAGTAATATCACTGCGAGGGAAACCAGAAATGGGCTTCACACATTAGACCCATGTCGGGAATCGAACCCGGGTCTTCGGCGGGACGAGTGAACGCTTTAACCACTAGGTTACCCGACCACCCAATCGAGCAAAGCGTATACATAACGTATACATACAATGTGCATGTATATGGACGAATAGTAATACGTATATTTCCTGAAGGATAAACATATAAAATTAACAGCCTTAAAACTAATCTGAACTATAAGATACACATGTACTGGCAGAATAATATCACGTGTACTTACGCCCAACTCAGCAAAGGTTTTGCAAAAGTGGTCGAGAGCAAACATCGACTGAAAAATAGTGCATACATCCTATTAACGTGAAACTACTGCAATGCTTTCACATATACATTTTAATCGGAAAGGCAAATTTCATTGAACTCAGGTTTCATTAAACTCGGTCCGACATTTTGTCAAGGTGAATCCAGTAAACATCTAATTTGCATCCTAAACTCGCGGAAGGGCAAATGCCTTGATCCTACCTTGCCCGTCTTGGTCTGAAAAGGATCTTCGTTACAATTGCAACCCTCCTCCCCAGATGGCGCCTACAAACACAGAGGGAATTGTTTGCAGCTACACCGTTTACAGTCAATTTTTGGAAACTGTCAGATTTACATGCGACCAGAGGGAGTTGTCTATTTCGCATATTAGATGTCAACATTATGTACAGCCTCTTTGAGGATGTTGATAAATTTTACAAGCTTTAAACAATATTTTCCCGTATTAAATAATGGTGACTCCCTGAATACAATCTGATCGCGGCAATGTCGGACAAGTCAGGATGGTTCAGTTTAGTATTTTCTGAATATACACAAAAACAACTGACGACCACTATGTGTACATTTTCTCCAATTACAGAAAGCCATATCTCGCATACTTTTTGATGCGATCGTTAGGTCATTTCGTTTATCTGCCTTGTCCATCTACCTCTAAGGGGAACAATTCACTACCCTCTACAAAATAGCGTCGTCCAATTTTCGACGTCATCGAGTTGCGACCATATGACCGAAGCTCCAGATATGACGTCAATCGTGAAATAAACCACGCCTCCTTCGTCACTGTTCTTTGCGATTAATGGCGTTGCTATCTTATATTAAGAAAATAAAAGAAAGAAAATTTATCCAAACATAAATAGAACAGGCGATGAGAGTACATTTTGCTACAAACCATTGTTGCTTCTCCGATTAGAAAGGCGAACGCCACAACCATATAAATAGCACTGAAATTCATTGTTACGGTCTTGATTTTGGTCGCTGAAAAAAAAGCATTCACATTTAATGTCCAGGTTTACGCAATATGATAAGTGAAGTTCATTATTACATAATTTTAAAACATAACATGTTATTCACAACATTCTAATTACACGAATTTAATGTTATGTAGGCAGCAGCGTTTCAGCTAGATTGTTAGACTGTTTCAATGTATTTTATACAACAGGCGATGCAATACAATACGAACAGTAAAAGGGCAAAATATGGTTTTATATGTGCCAATGAAGTGTTTTACTAACCTGAAAACCAAAACCAAAAACCAAAACAAAACCTCACACAACAAAAGCATGAAGAGCACCGAGTATCACATGAATAAGATTTATAGATACGCATATTCTGTTGTACTTATATTGATTACATCTACTACTCTGCACATGCAACCATCCCTTGCACTAAACAGTGCTGTACCCATGTGTGTCGTAAGAGGCGACTAACGGGATCAGGTGCATGGTCAGGCATGGTCAGGTTTGTTGACTTGGTCATCATCGCATTCCAATGGCGTAGATCAATGCCAATCACGAGATTGCCTGGACTAGACTCCATTAATTACAGAATATTGCTGAGTGCAGAGTTAAACAATGAACAAGCAAAATCCAATGACGCGAGTTCGTCATAATGGTACTTTTCAATACAGTAATGTGCATTTGATAGCAATGTTACATATAATATTTGCAAAACCCTCAATTATTATTCCATGACAAAATAGAATATAATAAACAATTCCTAAACTTATGTATGACCTTTTGTTTGTTTATCATGACTGTATTGTCGCCAAGTCACCCAGTTCTGGTTTAGTCAACCCTGCTAACAAGCATAAGTTTCAGGGGACCTATTTTAACTCTGAATCCAAACAGGGTTGTATGGTGTATGGTATGTGATGTGATAATACATTTCCAGCTTAGAATAACACAACATGTGACCGTGGAAACGCAAACAAATACAAACATGGAAACTCCAGCTATAGCATTAGGCACTAATTTAGAGTATTCCTGATGTGTATACCAAGATTCATGTGGATATGTTCAACGGTATCGGAGTCATGCTCCAGAATCCAAATGGGATAGACGAATCCCGTTTCTATATCACCCCCCAACACACACACACACACACACACACACACACACACACACACACACACACACACACACACACCGGCACATGCAAATGTCGTAGCGGTGGTGTCCGCAACCGGTGCCTACGTTTGACGGAGTTGGTACAAGCAAACCCTTTGAGGATTCGAACATGGTTGAAGTCAAACATGGGTTAAGAACACACTGGGACACATATGGTGCTGTCTCGCAAGGGGTTTATGACGTTTGCCGGCGTTGGTACAAACAAACCATATGCGGATTCGAACATGGACGGCGACTGAAATGGGTTTAGAACATCCCGTGACGTTCTGGGACACGCCAGTTTCGTAGCGGCGATGTCTCGCAAGCGTTTCCTTACCTTTGACGGCGTCGGTACAACCAAACCATTTGGGGATTCGAACATGGACGCGGTTGGAAACAGGTTCAGCACTTAATCTTAGCAATGCGACAGAAACCCCGGGTCCTGACGAACTCATGACGCTAATCCGACAGTGACAGCCTGCTTAAGACTCACCAAGCCGAATGGCTGAAGAGCCCTGGTGTTATCGTTCGATTTAATATTGTTATTATTCCGCCGATTTTTGTACCAGAGCTAGCAGCATAACCACAAGCTCGATTATGTTCAAATTCTCTATGTGTATGAAGACCGTTGAGTACTAGATTCCGCCAAAATCCAAAGACCTTAGGCCCAATGGCCAAGGGCAGATAACTGAAAAACAAGTATTTTTTAAAAGATGTATTTTGCTACTGCTCCCCAACCGCTTGTCCGATTACTTTCAAACCTTGCATTTATCTGCTGCTTCAGTTCCTTGACATTTTTTGTTCTTTGCCTTTGGTCATTGGTGACGTGGTTTGGCAGCCATATTGGATTACCTTAGGCGTTCAGTACTTTCAAATCCGAGATAAAAATACCCATCAGAAATCTTTAGACAGACTTTCACACAAATATGTTGCTATTTTCAATGGATGGTCACTTGGTGAGCCGATTATTTCAGATTTGTTTTCAATCGTGAGGGGGACGAGCGAAACACATCTTACACCATCCAGGGGCAGATAACTCCTCCCTTGAACAGGTCAGTACCACCATAACCCAATATCATAATTATAAGGCTTTCAGTTATCCGGAAAAGATAATATGGTTCAGGGAATTTCAACATAAAGTCAATACATCCCCTCGAAGAAGCAAAGAAATACTAGTACTCTAAGGCTAACAAGAAGAATTTAAAATCCCACACTTCAACATACCATATCATAGGAGCAAAATACAAACTTTTATTAAACCATTGAAGTAAAATAGGAATAAAAAGACATTGACACGCCTGTTGAGTTAGTAAGTACATTATCCTTGCTATATGACGGCTGTTTGTAAATAAACGAGTCTGGACCAGACAATCCAGTGATTAACATTATGAGCATCAATCGAAATTGATATACGATGACATGCACAACCAAGGCAGCGAGCCTGACCAACCGACCCCGTTAGTCGCCTCTTACGGCAAGCAAGGGTTGCTTAGGACCTTTTGTAACCCAGTTCTTCCCGGGTCAACGTTAAATGTAAGCTTGAGATATGAAAACTAGGGCAAATGCAAGTCTATCGTTCACCTGAAAATGTTTACTTAGGTATGATCAAAATCAATGAATCCTTAATTTGGATATATAGTCACGCATGCGAAGTAACCTGTCCTGGTGACTCCTATCCTGGGTTAACAGCGCAAACAGTTTACCGTCGCATCCAACTAATGAACTAAATATAATCACAACAGTGATACTTACTTACCTACTTTGGAGATTTAACGTGCGCTTTCCGTCTGATGCGTATTTCGCACACGGTGACAGTGATCACTCTGTCGTGCTTTTATTGTGGCCAGAACATGTGTGATGTCAACAAAGGGCATGTGTTTTACGGACCGTACATCTACTTATCCAATTAATGTCACGATAAATGAGAAGTCACGGTAATTGTTGCAAATTACCATTACTGACCTTTCATACAAGAATGCTTTGAAAAGCTAGCACCTTCTGTAAAGTGAACCTGGTCCTCTGTGATTCTTTTACATAATAATGTAGCTCACCTGACCGATGAAGAAATAGTTTTAATACGATTCAGCCAAGGAAAAAGTGGTGTACAGAAGGTCCTTGGAAAAGGAAGAATAGTACGTCACAAGAAAGAGACCCCTCTTTGGACGTTCCTTTTCTTTGCACAGATGTCCGCAGCAGTATCTGTATTTTACTTGCCAAAGCGGCCCAAGCTCTAGCCAACCGCCCTCTGACATTTTGGGCCTGCATGAATAAGTTTTATTATTTTCTTCTCTAACACAAGGTGTAGGATGAGAAAACATTGTGTGGGGCATCCTATCAACAGATTTTCCTCACGCTGCTGGACGCATTTCTGTTCAATATTATGTTTCGTTTCCTTGGCAGCCATGTGTGAAAACCTACCTTTTTCCATTGTCAAATGTGAAATGACATCTGAAGTTTACTGTGAAAATATGTGAAATGTTGGACTTCCTCGTTGATAACATCTATGTCATATTTTTGAGTGAGACATGTAGGCAAGAAGTAGGCATCCCCATGGGCACCAATTTCTGATTGGTTTGGCAAATTTTGCCAAGAAGTTCCAGGTATATCGATAATCTGATATCATCCAATGACCATCAAATAGCCTATTCTCTTCCACTGATCATGATTTACACACCAGAACTGGAAATAAAGGAAGTAAGTAAGACAGCTTCATCTGGTTTTTATTATATTTGGATCTATGCACAAAGATTGAGAGTGACAAAACACTTTCCACGAAACTGTATTAACACGTCTGACTACAACTTTCCAATAGTCAAATGTCCCTTTATGCCGATTATGCCAATATTTCAGCAGCTCCAGCCTTTGTTGACCACATTTCACAAATTATTTTGAGGTATAATCGAATATTTATTTGTACGAATACTTCAAAGTGTGTCACACAACTCTCGCTCAAAGGTTGTTAGATCAAGGTTATAACATTCAAGGCCTCAGTAAAGCTTTCAAACCGTTTCATGGTAGACATGTGTTCCAAAGCTTTTTCAGGTGAACAATTGACTTGCATTTGCATGTATTTGTGATAGGTTCCACCGGTGGGGTAGGATACACTAACCTTTTCGCGAACACCAGGTATCATCACTATTGACATTGTTCATAGACACATGTTACTGTTCATAGACGCTTATGATATAGTCGGAATAAATGTACTCTCCATTGAGCAGATATTTCCGATGATTATGGAAAGGGTTTCCTTCAGTTTTCCCTGATCAGATGAACATTCATATTATGGTTCAAACAGTGCCGTCGTTTCGCAGTAACCTCATTTCACAGGGGATTTTCCCATCCGGGAACAATAACACGTTTAAACTTCACAATATGGCATTTCACATGAACATATGCAGAAAAACGCTATTTGTGTGACAGAACACCTGACATCATCGCCCATTTGAAAGTCATTTATTGCTCATAATATAGTCTTAATCGTACAAGCAACTTTGCTTTTAGCAGAGATTTCTTATAAATATAGAAGGTGTGATATCGCTTTTATTCCAAATATATGCACATGATTAATTGAAACAAGGTGGCAGACTAGTGTTCAGTGGACACTAAGTGGAGGTTAAAGAAACTGCCATCAATCGGTTTATATATTGCTGCCATGGTGGCCATGTTTAAAATCAGATTAAACAGTAAACTACAGTTATAACGAACTCAAAGGGACCACTAATTATAATTCGTTATAACCGTAGTTCGTTATAAGTGAGTGAGTAAGTTGGGTTTAACGCCGCTTTTAACAGTATTCCAGTTATATCGCGGCACGTCAGCTTAATATGTGAGGAAAGCCCGAAGTGATGCAGGTCTGAGACGGCGCCTTGGACAACTGGGCCACCCGCGCCCCCAGTTCGTTATAAGCATATGTACAGCATGTCTACAGCAAATGGACGGGACACCCAAAACAGTTCGTTGTAAGAGTGTTGGTTATAAACGAATTTCCTGTACTTTAATGTGGCACTAAACCGAAGACCGTTGATCATTCGTGCAAAATTTCAGATCCATGTGCCTTGTAGTTTCAGAGGGGATATCAAATATGTAGAAACACTAGAAAAACGGGGATAAGTTTTAATGTGAAATAAATATCTCAACATGTTTGTATTTTATGTTATTTCAATTACCACATACTTGCTGCATTTAAAATTTCATATCGAAACATAAGGTAATGTGTCTAAAATGACATGCTTAAACTCGGATCAAAATTCTGTGAACAATAATTGGAGACACAGAACAGGTGAGCTAAAAATGGAGATATGCACTATAAGCCAAATACTATACATGTAGCCTTTTAAAGTGGGGTGTTGTGCATTAACCCTAATTAGTGATTAATTTATTTGGTATTCTATTTAATAGGAAAGTGCTCTCTGATTACAGTTAAGAAAGCTGCAACATTATGTAAATATGTTGTTTTTATTGGCATTTGATCTGTACGTTTGATGTGAGAAATAGTTTCGGGAATTTCTCAAAACGGCTATCGGAAAAAGATAAATGTGACTGTTGGGCGTACACATATGTGATTTGATTTGAAAGTGCACAAATAAACACGGGCATTTTGGTCATGGTTAGTGCAAATCAGGAGAAAATTGTAGGAAGGATTTGTCACACACTACTTCCAGAAGGTGTACACATTCTGTTTCGCACCCCCTCCTGTACCTTGCAATATAAGTACCAGCCCGACACCTACTGCAAAGAAACACTGCATATACTTGATTGAGCTTTTAAACAGTACTTCTGCATTTGGAACAGAGATTGCTTTCTCAACGTATTGGTGCTTCAAGGAGTCATTGTCTATTTTGTGATATTTCCCACTCTGTGATGTCCAGTACTGCAAAACCTACTTGTCACAGCGCCATTGACTTGACGTGATTTATAGATAAACTAGGTCTGCCATTTCTGCTGACAACTGACACAGCATGGCCATCATTAACATGTATGTGTTTTATTGTTTATCACGACCATTTGCCAATGCTGTGATACACGAATTGGACATTTTGTTTGCGAAACGTTAATTATTCGGCTGTGAATTCCTACGATATTCCAGACAGGGTTATGCCTACTTAACGCCGCTTTGAATAGTATTTCAGTTATATTAAACTGTCAGTTTAACGTTAGAGGAATCCCCATGGAGTGCGGGTCATTGACGCTTACAACTCTGGTGATAATAAAAGCTACAAAACTATTTCCATAGCCATAAGAAATCTCCCCTAAATACTCATGAGCAGAGGTATTGTTCTAGAAAACAACCGATCATTATGTGGACGAATGTGAGATTAGCATCCCTGATCTTGGGATTTTAATGTAATGACAAAAAACGATCTCCATTTAAATCTTAAATGAATGAAAGTTTTTCATTCTTGAACTATTAATTAAATACTAATAACAAACCAACATTTGCATTCATATGTTACACTTACAAACACCACCTAGGCAAACAATCCAAATGGTTTGAGTGGTCCGGGCAAATCAGTTTCATAAGGCTACTATATGTCGAGCATCAAAGTCTCACCATTAAGAGTTGATGGTAATTAAAACATTTAATAAATTGTCAACACCAGCAATAATCGAAACTCTTTGTGAATTATTCTGTACTCTTCAGTAGGTTCATGCCGTTCGATAAGAAATACACAAAGAAGGTGGAAGTGAAGTCATAGGATCATACCTTGCAAGGACAAACTATATAATAACTTTTCACGTCCGACTCGTGTACTTAGTCGACGAACATCAATGATATTTTCAGTGTTCAGAAGGACCTTGTAATGTAATTGAACGCCTCACGGTGTGTTTCAGCGACCAGTCGTCCAAAAGGACAGAACGTTTATGAAAGGACACCTACTTTTTGACATGTAATACAGTGTGAGCCTGTTGCGGCATGAAACGTTTAAAAAAAATTAAAACATACATGTACTGTGTGTCCAAGTTTATACTTGGACACCAAAAATGATGAATCCCGGCATGGACATAACATGGTCTTAACAAATGACACATTAGAGATTGTTTATGACAGTAGTTGTGACAGTAATATTACAAGAATATCTGTGTTTTGACAAACAACAGAATTGGCATTTTGAATAACCAGATGAGAAATGCCACAGAACAAGTTAGTGGTAATTTACAAATGTACTACCTTCGCAAGTAAAAAAATGCATTGCACACCAGCACCTTTTTAACATGATCAGCCCCTTCTCCGGAGTTTCCGCACCAGGGAGTATATCATTCATTTTGTTCAAACTACTTCTGTTCCTGTTGGTTCAATTATAACAGCGCTACCTTCGAATTCCTAATTATTTTAAAAAATCGTTGCCTAATTATTGTATTAAGTGGGACGATCTGATCTTTCCTGTTCATGAAGTAAATTGAATAAGAGATAAAGAGAATACCACCAATGATTAGTTCTAAGAGCCGAGCTTCCTTAAGGACGCTGCATTCGACAAGTGATATAGTGTTGCCAAACAATAACGTTTTGGATTTGGAACTCAGATTTCGATATAATGACGATTGTTTAGAGTGCCACTGTTGAAATATATTTTGTTTCTAAGGAAATGCTAGTCTCAAATAGAATAGCGAGGTTTAGATCTGAGTAGCTAATAGGTATGCTAATAGGTATGTCAACCAATAAAATAAAATGGGAAAATATCTCTCATCAGATCAGAAACATATCCACAGCTTAACATTTCCAAGTACAGTACCAAAACCAAACGTTGGATCCAAACGAGGTTTCAAATGTGAAATTGAGAAATATATGTGAAACCTTCTCTACCTAGTC